TGTGAAATTTAATGATGTATAAAGAACTCTGGATTTATTGTATATGGACTGTCACTCAAAAAAAATGGCTTTACCTTGAACCCAAAGTTAACTGATGGATTGATAAGATTTGCTTATTTTCCTTACTTGTTTCATATCAATGCAAGAAAAAGTCTGACTAATACTCTTCAGTATGGTTAATTAATGTATTTCTTATTGGTTAGGTTTTATTCATAGTTTTGTAGTATGCTGTAAACCACTTAGTGAGGGCTGTAAAGCACTGTGAAGTGGTATATAAGTCTATGTGCTATTGCTAGTGTGAATATACTTTAATGATTTCTTTTCCCCCTTAGATATAGCAATTTTGTTATATTTCTTTTTTTCTGAATATTATAAGAATTTTTTTAAAAACACATACATGGTCATTTAGGGGATGAAAAAGATTCTCCAGGATTGTTAGAATTGGGTTAGGTGACAGGGTAGGGAAGCAATATATTGCACAAATTTTTTGTTCGAATTGTATTTTGTTCAATTTTCGGGGGGGATTTAATAAATGCAGGGTCATCTTCCCTTCAGAGAAACACAGTAAATTGGCAGAGAGACACATCAAATAAGTTAGACTTTGAAGAAAAGGGATAGAGTACTGTCGTGTCTGAGCCTTGGTGTTGGAGAAAACTCTTGGAGAAGACCATGATAGCCAACAACAACAACAACAAAAATCAATCTAGAGTTCTCCCATGGTACACAAATGGCCAGGCTCAAACAATCATATTTTGGACACATTGAGTGAAGACTTAGCTCCACTGAGAAGTCCATAATGGTGGGAAAGGTGGAAGAAAAGAGAAAAAGAGGATGATAAGCTGTAGTAGTATCAAGTATAGACTTGATCACAATGGTGCATCATTGGAAGTCTTGCTTCCTTCCCTGCTTCAGGGGCATCAGCCTTTTCTCTTCAGGGTGAGAGCTGCCCCTGTCCACTGTGCTGGAGCAGATCTGATCAGAACAGAGTTTACGTTCCCCTTCCAATTTTAGGAAACATTCACGTGTGCTGGATTAACGATACATCAGCATTTGTGTCCTTGAGTCAGCCTGAACAAGTACAGATTGGTAAGCACCATAAAACCTTGAAAAGTAGGGTTCACAACTGATTATTTTTTACAAAGCATCTGCCAATAGTTTGAATGTTTAAAGAAGTTCCCTATATCTTTAGCCCTTCCTCCACTATTTGTCTTGTGGAACCATGGAAGTAAGTTCTTATCTATGTGGTTGATAATTTGATGGTACATAAGTAATCAGTTAGCAAGATCTAATGAGTCATTGGCATAGTTGGGCTATGTTCATATCGGCTTTTTGTGTAGAAAACATTAACCCATTGCTCACTTAACACCAGAGAAACACAATTCTGAACAGAATAGGCTCTTTCTAGAGAGATGGCAACTGATGTTAGGGCTACTAAACCTGTTCTTTATAATCATTATTTAGAGGCAAAGAGATCCAGAATGACATCTAGATGTTGTCATTTAGATGTCATTCGGGTATTTTCAGCCCAAATATGATATTGCTACCTGGCATTTCACAGGCTTTCCACTTTTGCCTCCTTAACTACATTCTTTTTCAGTAAGGAAAAAGAAGACACAATTATATAGAAAAATTACAAATGGAATATGATATCAGTATGATTCCCTGCCTGCCACCTCATAAAGCTCAGAAAACTGCATAATAAAAAAGAGAATATTGCAATTAAGATCATTTTCATTTGGCTTCCTAAAATTTTCCTGATTTTAACAAAACTTTTCCAACTTGGAACCCACCAGATAGATTATAATTCCTGTTTTCCTTATTCTGGCTGCGATGACAGGAGTTTATTAAACACACATGAAGGTATCACATAGGGATATTGGCTATAAGGAAGTGATGCCGGTAGTCACTTTATTCAGGATTGCCAATTTACTTATTTTATTAAATTTATGATGGCCACCCAGTCCAATAGATTCCCATATTTATCTTTGTATTGTTGTTATAGTGCTTGAATGAAAACTTACTCCTCCTAAATGCTATATAACAATGCAGGGCTACACAAAACACACTACTGTACCAGCTACTGCATATGAACTTTAAAGAAAACGTAGGTAAGTTGGAATGAAACCATCCTTCAGGCCTGTTGAATTGCAACTCCCACAATTCCTGTGAACCAAATCTCAATGATTGAATGTGATGGGGGCTGTTAAATCCAATGACCCTGGACTGCAGAATGGGAAAATCTATCTTCATAGACGTCTGCTACATAAAGATACAACAGGGAAAATTTCATCTAAATGATTTCAATCTGGTAAAGCTCCATAATATTGCAGAAACATCTTGCTCATTTTTATGTCTTCAACAGCTTCTGATCACAGGAATTGCTGGACAGAAACTGGCCACCTCATTCTCATTTTGTTGATGTGCTAATTACATGGGAGTTAAAAAATACTCAGTCATTCTTTTCTATGGAAAAACATCATATTCCCCCCCCCCAAAAAATCAGCAGCACAAAGTCTATGTTTGATCTAGTACAGTCAATCCTGAAATGGATACATCAATTGCAATCTTTTATGTAGAGTTAATGCTATGTCCCAACTCTCCCACAAGGATTGTGAACATGACCGAGACAGAGATAACAAAGCCAAGGAAAAAGTCTTTGACTTTGTGATTTTCCAGCCCTTCATATCACTATGCATTGCAGTTAATCAGTGTTGAAAGTTATAGTAGCATGTTGCGAAATTTCCTTTAGAGTTTCTGCCTCAAAACTGTTGGTTACAGGAGAGGGAGCCCTATCTTGTCAACCTAATAGGATAAAACAAAATGCTGGCTGGAGAATTCTGGGAGTTGAAGACTACAAATCATAAAGTTGCCAAAGCTGAGAAAAACTAGAATAGATGACAGGTAGATTCCTTTTTCTAGGGTCTGGATATATTGTAACCATTAGATTGATGGAAATTTTAGCTCAGAACATAAATTTCTTGCTTCCAGTCACATAGAAAAAGAGTTTTAGTATTTGTTCACTAAATATGTAAAGGCATATTTGCTAAGTTAGGAGGTCTTTTGTTTCATTCTTGAGGAGGTGGTGGAGTGATTAAGCTAGTGGCCTATGGCCAAAGCGATGCAGATTCAGGTTGACCCTCAGTTATGGAAACTCACTGACTGGCTGAGCTGAGAAAGAATTGGCCCAACCTACTTCATTAGGTTGCTGTTGTGGAGAAAAAAAATAGGAATACATCAGACATTGTCCATTCCTGCAGGAAAGACAGGATCTACATCTAGACCTAAGTTTAAATCTAAATCATGTGAGAGAAAAGGAAATAATCACAGAGTGATTAAGGATAGTAATAAATTGATATTCTACAATTGATATTCCTCCTGTTGTACTGGAGTATGACTTCTATCATCTCAGTATATTTGAAATCATTAATGCTTTTGTAAAATATCCAGTACTATGAATGTTTTGGCTATGTTCGTATTAAGCAGTAAGCCATGTTTTTTGTTTAACCGTGTTTAATGTTTATTTTGCAAAGCATAGTTTATTTATCAGATTTTTATCTTACCTTTAATACTTCAAAAGTGGCAAACATACATAATATGTGGCAAACATACATAATATTCCTTCCTCCTATGCAACATGCTAACCCCTGAACAATGATTTGCAAATCACAGGGACCAAGATTATTCAGTACTAAACCATAAACAAGCAAACCACACTTTGGACTAGTCCAGGAGTAGGCAACCTCGGCTCATTTATGGCTCATGGACTTCAACTCCCAGAATTCCCGAGTCAGCATAGCTGACTCAGGAATTCTGGGAGTTGAAGTTCATGAGCCATAAAAGAGCCGAGGTTGCCTACCCCTGGACTAGGCCCTAGGGCAGTGGTTCTCAACCTGTGGGTTGGGACCCCATTTGGGGTCGAAAGACCATTTCACGGGATCGCCAAACAACGCAGTCCGCCATTTTTTCCCCTTTTCCTTAGCAGTGCTACTCCCTTTTATTCTATTGGCTTTTGAAAGCCAATAGAATAGACTCTCTTGAATAGAGATCCTCGTCCAGGCTGTCTCTGCCCTGCTGAGCCTGCCAAAAGTCCCATTCTGCAAACGGTGCTGCACCAGTTGAGTAGTCCTCGACTTACGACTGGTTGAATAGTCCTCGACTTACGACCGGTTGAGGGTCACGGCATTAAAAGGTTGAGAACCACTGCCTTAGGGCAAGATGCAACCCAGGCCCTCAGTACTGCTGTATTGGTCAGGATTATGAAAAAGCAGGGCAGTCTTCTTACTGAGAGAAAGAATCCTGCTGGTACAACTCTACCCCATGTTGTTGGTGAGAGTTGATATCAACACCTAGTGATCCATGCAATTTTCTTAGTAAGATTTTCAGAAAGGATTTGCTATGCGTAAGTCGCAATATTTCTTAACTTTCCAGTCTCGGGCTCAGAGCAAGCAACCAGCCCAAAATCACTCAGCTGGCTTCTCTGCCTACCAGAGGATGAGAACTCTAACTTGTCTGCCTGCTCCTAATCCAGCACCTTTAACTATTATTTATGAAGCAATTGGGTGAAAGCATCCTGCTGGCATGGCCCCATCATTTTCAGCTTTGTAAAAGACTACAAAAAAGTTAACAGGCCATCTAGATTGAAAGGAACACTTTTTCTTTTAAGTCATGTGGATTTCACTGGAAGGAAGCTGGGTGCACCAGCCTCCAACAAGCCTTTGTGTACTCGAGACTTTGATTCTCACTTCTCTCTCACCCATTATCTCCAATAGACAAACTGTAGGCACTACCTGCCTTACAAGTAAAGCTGTTAAACTTCTTAACACTATGTATACCTTAAAATATAAGCAGGGCTCCAGAAACTTTGATCATTCACTTGAACTCTACTGTTATAAGCAGCTCATCCTGAATATCTGTAATAACTGGTCTACCCCATTTCAATGCTTTCGAGCCTTATAAAGCCACGGGTCGCCCCCCCCCCCCCGCCTGTAATGGGTCCCCACCTGTAATGGTTTCCTGATAGCCTTTGGTGAAGTACTGCATGGCCGTGGCCGCCCTCCAGGGCGTCTTGAGCAGCCCCTGGCGCTGCGGATCCTCGCCCAAGGCACTCAGGATGGTGGTGTAAGCGGCAGCCAGGCCGGGCAAGTTCATTTCGTTGTCCTCTTCGCTGCGGGTCCGCTCTTCCTTCCAGCTCTCTAAAGGATGCCCACCAGCCGCGGTCTTCCAGCTACGGGACGGCGCTTCTCCCGAGCGACTCCGCTGAAGAGGCGGCTGCTTCTCTGCCAGCGCGTACCCATTGCAGCTGGCGGTTCGCAGGGACTGCTCCACCACGGCCCGCGGCTTCCTTTTCTCCATTTGGTCAAGGCGGGCGCCCAGCCCTGGAGAGCCGGTGCTCTCAGAGGCTCCTGGGCACGCTGGAAAGGGAGCAGAGACTAGATGCCGACCCTGCTAGAAGTTGAAAGTGGGGTGGATGGCTCACCCACTCCCCAAAAAACTATACCAGCAATAGGGAGGAGCGAGAGGCGTTTCCTGACAGCTCGTGCGCCCAGCCTGGAGCCAAAGGAAACGTCTGGCTCCTCTCACGGGTTCCCGCGGCCGAAGTGAGAACTGATAACTAAAGAAATCGCCTCTAAAATCACCGGCCGACCTCCGTGTCTGCCGCGTGGTGCCCGGCCAAAAGGCTCCCCCCTCCCGACAAGCAGGAAAAGAAAAAGGCCGCCGCCGCCGCCGCCGCCGCCCCACAGAAACCCTCGCAATGCGCTCCACCCTCTCGCTCCTTCTTTCCAGGCGGCGCACCCCACTTTATACATCGCCTGGTTTCGGTCCCGGGCACGGTGCATCTCTTTCATTGGGCACTTCTGCCCGTGCGTCACCCCGCCCGGCAGCCTCTCAGAGGCTCGAGCGCCGGAAGCCGCAGGCAGCGTAAGCTTGGCGAGCGCTTCTCCTGTTGCGAGAAGTCGCCGGTGGCCGTTCTCAGCCGCGGCCGGCGGGGGAGCTGCTTTAGATTGGCTGAGTTATAGGAAAGCATGACCACCGAGCACTTTCCTTCTGGGAAAGTACTTAAATAATTACTCAAACCTTGGGACCGTGTTATGATGTTACAACACTGGCCTAAGCCATTTTGTGTTTGTGGTTTTAGCGGGATGGGTAAACGGAAGCATTAGTTATGCCACCTCACACACTGGCAAAATTTGGACTTTGCTCTTCTGGCTTCTGCCCCAGGACGCTTGAGGATTCCTTCATCCTGTCTGTTGCGTCCTTGGCGGGAAAACAGACACGAGAAGCAGCTGGAGTTCTCAGTTTCTTTTATTCAGCGTTCAGCTTACAGGAAGATGGCTTCAGCCTCGCCCAAACGCCTCGCAGCCTCTTATATAGGCAACTCCCGGGTAAATGGGTTACTTTTCCCGCGCCAGCACCCGCGCATGCGCACGGCGCTGGCGACAGCCTGTCTGGTCCCGGGCAGCTTTGCACCTGCCCGGGACTGCCTGCAAACGCCCGAGCCGTTTGCAAAGGCTCGGGACATAACACCCCTTTCCCCCGGGCTAAAACTACTACCAACATACAACATTTATTTTATATGACATTTTGCTCCCCAGTGCTCCCACTGTTTACCGGCCTTTGCCTTGCCAGCAATGTTATGTAGTCTTCTAGGTACTTGGGAGATTTCTTTGCTCTCTGTGACCTTCTTAGCTGTGGATTACTGGCATAAGTCCCCTGACTGGAGGGAGGCGTGAGCCTGTTCTCTCTATTGTGTCCTGGTGTCTTCCAAGGACTGTGCCCCGATGCCTGGCCTGCTTGCTTGCCCACCGGGCTCGTCAGGCCAGGGCTTCTGTTACTTTGTGACCTGGTTGACCTACCTAGCTGTAGATCCTCAGGCCCCTTGAAGTGATAGCCGCTGCTGGGCGTCTCTGTAGAACCTCCTAGGTCAGTCCAAGACCTGTCAGGAGGCTGTCCATTCCCTGAACCCCATTCTGTGCTCGGGCTCGTGTGGGTTTCTGTACTTTCCCAAAATTCAGGTGTTCCCTGATTTGTGCTAGGGTTGTTGTAGTCGGGACTTGGTTCCTCGACTAGCTCTGTGTATGTTTGACCCCCTGTAGGATTTGGGGTAAGGTCAGGCCAACCTTGGGAATTGTGTGCCAGCTCTCTTGCGGGGAATGATTTGTTGGGATGCCCCCGGGTATCCTCCGTGACTGGAGTGCTGTGTGACGTGTGTGGAACGTGAGTATGCCCCCGGGGTGACTCCCTGGCTGGAATCAACAGGTTCTAGGATTCCCTGTTGGATTAGTTTGTCTAGTTCAGTGTCAATCTTACTTTTTAAAGCAAAAGGGACCCTTCTTGCTTTAATCCTAATGGGAGTGACAGTGGGGTCTAGCTTTAAGGACACAGGTGGTCCTTTGAATGTGCCCAGCTGGGGGCTGAAAACATCTGCAAATTCTTTGCAGACTTCCTGTAGGTCGAGTGTTTGTAAGCTGTTGAGTCCTGTGACGTGTATCCCCAGGGCCTCAAACCAATCGAGTCCTATGAGACTCGTTCGTTCACCCCCTACTACTAATAAGTCTAGTGGACCTTCAAAACTCTTGTATTGCACGTTAAGGGTGGCCTCCCCCTTAACACACACTCTTGAGTTCTGAAAATCTGTTAATACAATATCAGAAGGCCTTAACTTGGCCTTAGACCCACTACTGGAACAAATCTTCCTAAATGTATGCAATGAAATGATGGACAGGGCAGACCCTGTGTCTAGTTCCATAGATAATGGAACCCCTTGTAGCTTCACGTTGAGTGACAGCTTTTTCTTCATGGGCTTGTGTGTGCCTGTTCTACAGATGCTTCTTCGCGAAGCGCAAAACCCTACCCTATTCTGGCTGGGGAATCTGGTACCTTTCAGGCGTTCTTCTTGGGGTTGTGCCTTTCGTCGGCTCAGACACACAGCTGCAATATGCCCTTGTTTGCCGCATGCCCGGCAGGTAGCGGAGCGGAACTTGCAGTCGGTTCTCCTGTGGCGACCTCCACAGCCGATGCACTTGAGCAGAGCCGAAGAGCTTCCCTTCTGGTTCTCTTCCTTCGCGGGGTGTAGACGGTCGACTTCCTCGTCCGGATCCTCCTCGGAGTTTCGTCGGACGTCTTCCTGGTGCACGGACGCACCCTCTGCACTGTTTCTGATCGGCCGCATGTTTTTGATGGCGCCGCCTGCTGCTTCTTCTGCGGTGACTTCCCTTAAGGCGTCTTGGAAGGATAATTCTTCCTTGGCAAAAAGTCTCTGTTGTAGCTCTCGATGCCTTAGCCCGCACACGAATCGGTCCCTCAGTCGTTCCTCGAGGTCCTTGAACTCGCAGGGCTTGGCGGCCTTCCGTAGCGCGGCGATGTATTCCTTGGCTGTTTCACCGGACCGTTGATCCCTCTGCTCGAAGGTGTGGCGCCATGAGATAACGGACACCTTGGGGTGGAAGTGCTCTTTCAGCAGCTTCTTCAGGTCTGCGTAGCTTACAGACTCTACTGGAACAGGTGCTACAAGATTTTCTGCGATTTCGAAGGCGTCTTGGCCGCAAACGCAAAGCAGGGTGGCGGCCTTCAAGCTATCTTCCCTCACTTGGTTTGCCTTGAAGTAGTTCTCCATTCTGGATACGTAGGACTCCCACCGCTCTGGATGTGAGACGTCGAATTCCGAAAGCCTTCCGATTTTCGCCATCTTCGGATCTTCAGGAGACGGGTCTATCAGCCAGCCTACCCCCGAATGCGCACCGGATTGGCGGGCAGCTGCCGAGTCGACGCCGTTCCTCTTCCGCCGCTCAGGACTCCTTGGGTAAGCTTACACTTTTTTCCTTTCCAGGTAGTGCAAGGCATCCCACCTTCGTCGCCAGTGTTGCGTCCTTGGCGGGAAAACAGACACGAGAAGCAGCTGGAGTTCTCAGTTTCTTTTATTCAGCGTTCAGCTTACAGGAAGATGGCTTCAGCCTCGCCCAAACGCCTCGCAGCCTCTTATATAGGCAACTCCCGGGTAAATGGGTTACTTTTCCCGCGCCAGCACCCGCGCATGCGCACGGCGCTGGCGACAGCCTGTCTGGTCCCGGGCAGCTTTGCACCTGCCCGGGACTGCCTGCAAACGCCCGAGCCGTTTGCAAAGGCTCGGGACATAACACTGTCCATCGTTTTTCTCCTATGTGGCCATAAATTCAGATGTCACTCATTGCACGCCTATAATATACATTGCAAAACATTACATTTATCATTCCATTTATTCATTTTGGACCCTTCTGACCATTTATCCTGTTTTTAATACCTTAGCTGCTCTCTTCTCAAGTTTGGAGCCAAGCGTAGATTGAATGAACATCCCTCAGTATATACATAATTTTTACATAAGTTACAAGAGAAAAGAACCTCAATTGTTCTCCAGGTTGACAAAGAGTCACTGAGAAACATCATGTCATTACCATTTAGCTCAATTTTATACCATATTATACTAAAAGCTTCTTGAAAATGTTTCAGTGGCGATTATAGACTGAATTACAATTTAAACATTTATAAAATAGGTACTAAGCAGAAGTCTAACCAAGGAAGGTCACTTTGGTGTGGTGGTTAAAGCATTAGAGACCATGAGATCATGAATTCTAATCCTGCCATAGACACAAAACCAGATGAGTGACCTTGGGCAGTCTCTCTCCCCCCCCCCATCTTAGGAAGAAGAAACCAATGGTGAACTACTTCAAATGTGGTCTGTAATAAGAATTGATTGGTTGGTTGAATTATTGATTGATTGATTGATTGGATTGGATTGGATTGATTGATTGATTGAAACTACTTTCAAAATCTGCAGGGATTTGTCCAGGCAGTTGTCAGGATTCAAGATTGAGTGGAGGCATAGCATTTTTTTTAAAGTGCTTTAGCCAAACCTTAACCTGGAGATTGCCATTTAATTACAATATCCTTGTAAAAAGTTGCCCTTACACTTTCTGTTCCTCCAGTCTGGTTACAGATAGAAAGAAATGCATGTGTAATGTGTACTGAGATAAACCTATTTACCTATATTAGAACAATGAACATACTAAAAACAATTCTTTTATTTGTAAAAAGGCACCAGTTGTTTACTTACGTATTTATTTTTTGGGAAAAAAAAGTTCTTTCAGCTGAGGAGAGCGTGTCAATTACTATTCTACTTTTATCACATACTCTTTCCTGATGTTTCAGGCCTGACATGCACACCCAAATTTCATCCTGTGAGAATGCAAGTAGTCCTTGACTGGTTGCTTAGTGGCCATTTGAAATTACCACAGACTCCCCCTAAATGGATTTACAACCTGGATTCAAAGTTCTGATGTCCTTTCTCCCCTCCGTGATCACGTGACTGCATTTTGGGTGCTTGACATTCACCCTGCATTTACAGTCATGTGCAGTGTAATTTATGACATTTTTGCTGAAAACCGGCATTTGCTTCCAGTTTCATTTGCTTAACAACAGCTGCAACAAAGGTTGTAAAATCAACATGGTCACCTGATAACCCACTTTACAACTCTCATAAAATTGTGGGCTTAAAATATGGTCATATGTCAAGGACCATCTGACTAGACAGCCTGACTGGAAATGTGATGACTTCTTATTAACTTTCTCACACTAAAGTTCATAAATTATAAGCCAAGCAAATCCTAATAAATCCTAATCTGCAATAGTGGTGAATATCTGTAACTCAGGTGTACTGTAATTGATGACCCACATCTGACCCATCACAAGTCCCTCACTTGACACACTCGCACTTGACCCATCACAAGACCCTCACTTGACACACCCGCAGCATCTGGTAACTTCTATTTTGATGAAACGTAAAGATCTTTATTTCTTCTGCGATGGCTTAGTTTTTTGCACACAGAATAACAGAGTTGGAGGGGACCTTGGACGTCTTCTACTC